TTCAGTCTAAAATGATCAATTCAGAAGAATGAATAAATATATGATACAATGTATCATATTTTCAAATTAAATTACATCTAATAACTTAAACGAGAATTACTACTAATAAACCACATGTTAAATGTTTATTGTTTACGAAGTAACACTACTGATTATGCTGTGCTTTGTATTGCACAAGTTGTAAGAGATATAGAATAAGTGACAATTCTATATGACTGTTGAAAGTTAAGCTTATCACACACTTCATATCATTTGAATAACATGGATTATTATTAATCTCTGTATGAGATAAGTATAAAACTGTACAATTGTGAACTTTAAACTGAAATCACGAACCGATCAATGTTAGACCACCATTGAAAGCCTGAAAGCGTTGAGAGGCCGTTTCATCCTAGTATAGAACTCCTCAGCAGTGCCCACCCACGACCTACGACCGCGCGCGAACATTTAACCACCAAACCACCGAGCCAGCGTCCAACGATGTTAATATCTAACTTCAACTATCCACAAAATTGCGCAACCACCCTGCATTGTCTTCAGCAAGCAATTACCTCCACTGGTCGCGGATTTTCACTAGAACATCAAGAATTATCTCTCAAAGCATGCCGCTAGTGAGCACATGATAATTATCAGTATAGGGTTGTGGAAATTGTGGAGTTTTTACTTAGAATCATGAACCGATCAATGTTAGACCACATGCTCCGACGAAGGTCGTGGATTCGAGTCCGGCGTGTGAAGTTGTGGATGCGTATCGCTGAGGAGTCTCGTGCTGGGACGAAACGTCCTTCCAGTGCTTTTAAGTCCTCAATGGTGGTCTAACATCGATCGGTTCATGATTGTAATTTAAAACTCACCAATCTCCACAACCCTATTCTGATAATTACGAATTTAGCTCTACCATTTAATCGGCCAATTTTGTTTGTTTATTACCATTAGACATGAGAGCTACTTTTGTGAAATTTTTATTCTAATTTCATTTTTGTTCACCTTAGAAAAGTTGGGTATTAAGATTCATAGTAGGAGTGTTTTCGGAAGTTATATAAAATAACCATTTATGTTTGTGCATAATAAACACTCAATTCTTTAGAATTTCTACAATATATTGAATATGATTCAGTCTTAGGGATAAGTCATAAGGTATTTTTGATAATTTCTGTCTTCATAAGGCTGGATATTGAATCCAGTTATTGAAAGACCATTGTTGTATTTTACACTAACATGTACCCAGTTAATTTCACATTACAAATTTCTTATCAGTGTTATAGATGTTAAGATAATTAGATGCGTCAATCCTATGAAATCATATCTCATGCTTTTATGCTCAGTTAAAATGGCTACTTCTTAATAACCATTTCTATATTTTTAATATCCTCTCATTGGAGGCTTTCTGTCAAAAATTTAATTTTGATGAGTAGTAGTTACTTAATCACATTATTCGCATGAATTTATCTAATCGATCACATATCAACACAACCTCGATCCGTTGAGATAAAACATGATAGTTTAAAGGCGTCAAACAATAAGGGTGTTTAAACTGTAAACTAGGATCAATTTACTGAACTGACATCTACTGTATTTGTTAACTAATCCCCGAAAGTTGTTAGAGTGCATTTATCATGAATTCACTAGAAATCCATCCCAGTATTTTAGTTTCAAACCTACTGAGTATTAAATCGATAACAATTCAGAATAAGATTTGTTACAGAATCTATCAATTCTTAGTTTTGAATATCTGTCGTCATAGTTAATGTGTGACTTATCAGCAAAACCCTTATTATTAGAATTGACTGAAATACATTTACTGAGTACAAGCATTTCTTTAGCATGGGGGGGAGAAATAATTCATACACAAAATTGATAGTCTGAAAGAACATAGATAACGAAAATCATGTAATTCCAATACATATTACAATGTCTAAAAGAAATTTACCAACAGGGCTAACAAAATAACCAATCGTAAATTCGACAAATATTCATTTTATTAGTTGATAGTGTGTCTTTTTCATAATAGCCATTGGATACTTTAAATTTAAGCAGAAAATGTCTACCTCTATATTTTTGATAAGTTTCAAATCTGATTGGCCAATTTTCGCAATAGGTATGCCCATAATTTCTTGGATAGAAATCAGTTGATGAGATACATTATAATAAAAAAAGGTTAGTGGATTATTTTTTATAGAAAATCAACTCGTGTGTTTCTTGGGGATAACAAAATCTTTGAATATCCTAATAGAAAATTTTCAATGAAAATCAGCTTTCATGTAAGTGTTCATCTTGTTGAATATCAATTTTTGTCAATATGAATTTAATTATTGAACTATTAAGTTAGCAAGGTTAACCCCTTCCCCACCAACCCCACTTATTATTGCAAGTACAAATTTTAATAAGTTATTAAATTACATGCTAATCAAACGAATATTAGGATAAAGTTACTTAATGATTAGTGGTATTCACAAAATTAGGCTTTTTATTGTATATCCTATTTGAATAAAGAGCATTTTACAAAATTCGGATGGTAAATAATTAAATGTTATGGGTTTTGAGTCAGTAAGTGAATAAACGTAGCGTCATCTGATCAACCTTATATTTGTTTTTTATTTGATCAAGTTATTTTTAAACATGACTACGAACGATGCATTTTCAGAGAGTAATGCTTTAGAGTTAACAGTGCCGCATTGTATTGATATTGGATTTTAAAAAGAAACACACTTAGTTTTGATCATGATCCATACTTTCCTGATACAGAAACAATGTATCTCGCAAGCAAAATATCTTCAGGTGAAATATTGGTTGAAATATTTATGAATAACATAAGACTTGAACTCGATAGAGATATTCAATTTCGTTACGGTTTCCCCTCTTTCCATAATATATATAATTTCTAGGATACATGACATTTCTGTTAAACGGTTTTGAAAATGCGATGATTCAGTGAACTTTTTGTGGTCAAATGTCAAGTTATTTATGTAACCGTAACTGTCGTTACTTCATTTCTTCGACTGCTGACTATCTTATGAAGTATTATGACAATCATACTATATATACACCCTAATGTAGAATGCTGTGGTTAATGACCAGTAATGTTATCACTGAGTAGTAATTATTTCAGACGTTCAAGACTTCTTATCGGAAATCAATATTTTTATTCCCCGATATCCTTTAGAAATACGATTGTTACTAATATATCGAAGAATATTGACGGTTATTAAAAACGAGCGTTTTATTACTTTTCACATGACTAAAATCTACTGAGTACATAGATGTCACTCATTTGAATTAAACCATGGATCATAAAGACTGTGTTTGTTATTTGATGTGGTAGTTATTATTCAAATATTTCAGATCAGAACAAAATCCTAATTATAGCTTGCTAATCGTGGGCAACTGTATATCTTAACAACATATAATCACTTGAATAAGAAAAAGAGAAATCAGCGAAGAAAATTTTCTTTTCGACGAAATCATTTACTTGAGCTGTACATTCGTATATATAGTTATATGGAAACTATATGTCTATGGAGGGATAGAAAGGATTGTATCACAAAAATGGTTTCGAGAATAAATAGCAAATGAGGTTAACGTACTAATCACTTCATATTCCTTCTCTCCACCACTCACTTTTTCTTTTAGTCATCCTTCATTATTTACTAATTAATAAAATAGTTATTGTACATTTGGTTCATTATTAATATTTTTTGAAATAAAGAAATAATAGACAGTTACTGAATATTTATAAAAGTCAAATACATTTGTTACGTAATACCAGAATGGATCAATTGACGATTGATGTCATTAGTGATTTTGAGTACCTTTGACCTATTTGAAGCTTAATATTTTGACTAAATTGTGTATAAATTGAGGTTAGAGGTAAGAATGTAATTGGTATGATATAAGCATCAGTCAACTTTGTCTAGTTTCCTAAATTTGGATTATTTCACAAATTCATTTAACAAAAAAGAAACAAATAATTGATTTAGAAAGAATGAGTACATAGGATACAAGGCTATTTTTTAATTAGCGACCATTAATATTGAAGCCGAAAATCAAAATAATCTTATTTCTCGAGTCAGAGTAGTTAAATAGTTTAGCTCTTGATAAACCTTATTCACCAGTCGTTTAAGCCATTAATTGATAATTGTTAGTCAGGTATGTAAGATCAGAAGTTTAAATACCCTTACCTTCAGTGTGCACTGTAAGTTGTAGTCGAAATTCGACACATAATCTGCTCTTAACCTGATGCCGACTCTTTATGAAATCGGTTATTGAATTAACTGAGTTAGAAACAACCAATTGTAAGGAATGATTACATTCTTCACCTTCAGGTCGTCATCACGAGAATCCGGAATATACAGTCAACCAAATAAGAAGTAATCAAAGAACCGTTTATAATCTATTATAAAGTTATTATTATTATTATTATTATTATTATTATTATTATTATTATTATTATTATTATTATTATTATTATTATTATTATTATTATTATTATTATTATTATTATTAGTGACTTAAGATATCATGATTATTCCTATTATCGGTCTAAAATACAGATTATTATCTTGTATACCAGTGATTTATAGGCAACATCCGGTAGATAAAGCATGTACAACTACCAAGTGTAGTAGTTCACATCAAGCCCCTTTCTCCTTTTTCTAACGAGTCCAGAATAAAAAGAAAGTATATCTATGTTTTAAATAATTTCTCATAGTCCACTTAACTCAAATATCCTCTGTTTTATTTATCTTTTATTTGTAGGTTTAATTTGAATAGTTTACTGTGAACTACTTGTTAACATGAAGCCAATTAATCTGGTCAAGCGAAAGTAAAACGTTTAAAATAAATACAAAGATACTTGTGTTAAAAGTTTAATTAACTTTGTAACTGCTTTGTGATAAAAATAAGTACAGTGAATTATTTGGCACAACCATAATATACTTTGAATGAAATCATTCAGAATTTCATAAGACGTATAACATTTAAAAGGGGATCCTCCATATAATATGGTTGATTCAAATACTATTAGTTCCAAGAATTATTATCATTCAGAACTGCAAAATAGGTTATACTTTTCAAGTGGTTCAAATCAGGATATGAAAATCCCTTATCCATGTGCTTGTTGCAAGCGAAATTCCCCTTCTGTATTTTCACCACGATGTATGAATGTTTGTGCAGACTGTGATACTCCAGCCATAAACTATAATCTCGACTTATCGACAACCAATTTTTCAGATAATAACCTCAACCCATTTTCTCAGTTTACTTCTTTATCAAAATCCAAAGATCCTTTCTCCAGTGTTTTGAACAATGAACAACACAATTATATAAATAATAATTCTCTTCGACCTAAAATCTCGTCTCCCATTAACTCTTCTCTAACCATTCTGAAATGTGATGAGTTCTCTACGTCTAAACTTAATTTGGGAAATTCTGTTGAGTTGCCTACAAATCAACTGGCTATATCAAACGAAGGTGATAGCATATGTGATGATATGGAGATAATTAATAACAAGGGCACTGAAGAAAATAATAATATTACGAGTTATCATCAAGTCATTCACACTGATAATCCATACCACATGAATCAGTCTAATCCGAATCTTCTTAAACTTTTGTCGAACTGCAATCAGTTAGTCAGAAACTCATCAGTTGAAATATTACCATCTTTGTATTCACCGCTACCTTCATTATCAACTGTTAATACGCTACATCCATTTAACAATCATGTTACAAGATTAGACTCTTTAATGCTAGATAATACTTCAAAATGTCTTAGTGAGAATTGTATAACTGAAAATATGGAAAAATATAATCAAACTAAGAATGAAGATAATATTGTTAACGAAAGGTCCGATGATTATATGGATAGCAAATCAACTTATCCGAATAAAAATTCCTTGTGGATGTTCAATAATTGCACCAACCCAAATAACACAGCAGGATTTGAAGAACCATTTGATGTCAGTCACACAATGCAAGAGGTTATCAAATCTTCTATTTGTAATTATCCTTCAAATATATACAATTCTTCATTGTCACTACCAATAGCCTTTCCATCCTCCCCTTCTGCTTCACTGACTCATAATTATGAATCATTACAGGTGGAAAAACCTGCCATAAACTTTGTAAATCATGCTCAGGTTACCACTAATCCTTGCATGATACAACATGACATGCAGCATTCAACTTCAACTAACTATTCATCATCGTGTTCTTCTTCATCATCATCATCATCATCATCATCGTCTGAGCATCAGCAACAACAGCAGTCACATCACTGTTTTCCTCAGACTGATATTGCTTCATACTTACCATCACAAATTAATTCGATAGAATGTAGTGATAAACATCAATATAGTTTAACTGATATGCCCTGTCCACGTCGTCAGGAACAACAGTATCGACAAAAAAAGTTGTTTATTCACTTTCCAACACCAACAGAAACCGTCAAATTGATGCCTAAACATTTGATGATGACTAATGCACAACAGCACCACCAACATCAAAGTCAACAGCAACTCACAGACGACCTTCTTGAAAGTGAATCTCACTCAGTAATCAATAAGCTTGGCATGGAATATACCTCTCAAGCAACCATAGACAAACAATCTGTCCTTCATGAAAGTAAGTTATGTTGTTTGTCAAGCATACTTACTCTTAACATGGTAACCTTTCCTGTTGCGTATTTCTTTCTTTTGTTTGAGATAGACGTTTACTAGCCATTATTTAGACTACCTAAATACTTTGTTGAGTGTCTGGGTTATATCCTTGTTTCTTTATTTGTAGGTGAATGTGGTTTAGTGGAAAACAGAGAATATTGAATATTTTCCTGTATATTTTTAGAACCATTCAGAAGTAAACAACTATAATTTGTCAGCTCAATGAAACTAACCATATTAAAACTAATTAAATGTCCAATGAAAGTCTACTTCAGAAACTAGCCAAATTAAGCGTTATGATCCCAAAATAGTAAACATGATTAGTAATATCAAGTATATGAATAAAAAATCGTAGTGAATTGAACCAGGATTATAAATACCTTACAAAAGATACTCACCTCATTTGCTTTTTTAGGAATACTATCTCAAGTCCTGGTTATAGTGGGGAATTTGTACAAAGACTATTAAATATATTTTGTGTATAAACTATAGCATTGAGTCTATAATTACGAATATACGTAAAGGTGAACTGATAGTAAGATAGTGACTTGGTGGTTAGAGAAATCAATTTTTAACCATTAGGTTACAAGTTTAAATCCCATTTCGTTTAATTAGGTCTGGGTATCTGGGTATCATCGATAATCGTTACATAAAATCTGAGGTCTGAAATCTAATATATAAAGCTACTTTTCATCAATAAGTTTTATCAATGTATGAATCAGGTGAAAATTATTTGCAACTTATAACAAAGTTGACTACTATTTGGCTAGAACCATTAGATATAGCGTATCAGCAAAAGAGGTTGGTACAACAACTTAGGGACTTCCATAAAGGTGCTCTGGCTCAATTGATCATATTTTTGTATGGCATAGAAAAGAAAATCACCAGAGGAAGAAAACGTTAAAACAGATGAACAAGATATGGGTAGACGAAGAATATAGATAGATATGTGATTAGATGTCCAAACTTAGGGGAGGGTAAAAAAATAGATTCTTTCAAGTCACTGGTTCATAACATCTTGAGAAATCAAAAATTTCCCAGAACAGTTGCCGGATGATCTTTTGATGTCGATATCTAAAATTCGTTTTCACCAACTCAACTGAGGTAATAAAACTTTTTAAACAAGGTACCAAACATACTCAATAACTCTACTTCTTGTTCATAGACTCGGCATTAGCGAAGACCGATTGTAAAGTATGAAACTATGTTTTCTAGGGATGAAAAGGTTGTTTAATTTCATCAAATTATCATTTGATACACTTTGAATATCTTGCATCTTGTCAGCTTTTTTTACCTAACAATACAATGAGACTCTACTGGAGGAATTTTGGATAAGAGAATAATCACTAAAAAGCCGATCGTATATGGATTCCCTTGAGTCAATGTATTTAGAAAAAAATGGACTAAATTCAGATGTCCGTGGAAAACGGAGAATAACAATAAAATATGAAGAAAATGATCGAATTACACTAAACGACATGTATTTGAAGTCATATGATTGAGTTTTACTAAACTCACAGATAAAACGTTCTTCTAAATGAATCGAAGTAAGGAAGCAGTAAGGTGTTAAGTGGGTTTGAAAAACAATGTTCTAGGAAATTCATGATTTTTTAAATTTCTATGACTAGAAACAAATCTTCGTGTTTTTGGAATTTTTTATAACGGATGTTTTCATAATAAAGAGTATTCTCTCTATTATATAAATCAATAAAAACTATTTACTTTCTGTTTAATAAAAAGAACGTTGATTCTTGGAAGTGGATATTATCCAAACATTATACGTCGATTGAGTGACCGAGCAGTCTGAGGCCCTAGTTTTAGGCACCAGTCTGAAGGATCGTGAGTTCGAACCACATATCCATCAAATCTTTGTAAATCAATAGTTTAGATGTTAAGAATTCCAACTTTCAGGTACTAAGTCTCAGGTTCGAATTCCGTTCGACCTACTTCTGTTAAGACAGTTGGGTAGTGTCATGAGCCCTCAGACCTATAGTTTGGCCCGAAACCAAGTACACAGTTCTGTACATGGTAAATGAGTTACTAATAATACAGACAACCGTCGTGGGACCTAAAATGTTACAAGCTTGTTTCGTTTCTTTCTGACAGTCCATACTATATTTTCTTTAGAGCTATGTTTCATGGGCAAGACCAAGGTACGTAAGCCTTACCATAATTTGAATTAAAACGAGGTTCAAATTTCTCACTGGTCTTGAGTTTAATAATTTAAAGGTTTCTTTTTTCATTTAAGTAATATCAGTTGCCTTAATTCAAAGTAAATTAGTAAACAGTGTCAAAATATTGAATTCGTTCACTATTTTGTATTTATCTAAAAAAGGATAATGACTATACCAAAGAAGAGACTGGAGGTCAGTATATTCGAGAGCATGTATCCATCCTTTATATCTCTCAAAAGTACACTTTCCGAAATATGTGCTGATGATGTCCAAAAAGGCTATACGGGTTAATCATCCAGCTCAGAGAATCCAATATCTACAAAAGCAGTTTAAAACTCAGCAAGGATGGGTTGAGTATTCAGTTATGTTAAATGTTGGTTAATTGCCTAATTTTTAAAATCACTATTTACCCAATATTCTTCATTATGTTGATTTATATCGGTGTTGAAAAGCCGTTTATCAATGTTTAAACACAATAAAATATATATCCATGATAAGCAGTAGTCAGTTACTATTACTCTATGGTATATATATACCAATGAAAGCAAGTTCACTGAGTTCAGCTATTAAAATCCGCATAATAACTGGTATTAGTGTACAAATTAGTCTCATCGTGTTGTCGAATGGGTGATTATTATTAATTTTTTCTCTCTTCATTCGAATACAGTGCTTTTCTAATCTGAATTGATAAAAGTAAATATTAATAGATAACGATAAATGTATATGTATTCTATAATACCAAGATTATATATATGCCATTTAATGTTTTATCATATGTATAATATTGTTGTGTATGTAATCATACATACTTGTAGTAAGGAGAGTAGATACAGTTAGTACTGATCCTGGTTATACTTTTCAACTTTGACAATACATCAAGTCGTCAGTGTATAAATGCATATATATGTCTATCTGAGGTTATCAAAACAAGTATTTTGTATAGTGATGGAACTTATGCAGTTATTTACTTGAAATTGACCATAGTCGCATAAATGTATACTTTTTTTATCACTGTTTACATGATTTTCTCTTTGTGTACTCTTTCTAGCATTCTTTATATTGTTGCTTAGTTCTGAGATGTTTTGTAATTAAAATCAGCTCCTTACTAAATAGAAATTTACAGGGCTGTTATCTACAACTCTGGGAACTTTAACAGTGTTTAGTATTAAAAAAAGTAGTACTAAGTGAGATCATGAGCCTATCGATGTTAGACCACCGTTGAAAATCTCGAAGTATTGGACGGCCGTTTCGTTCTAGTATGAGGCTCCTCAACAGTGCGCATCTATGATTCCACACGCGTGAATCGAACCCACAACCTTCAGCTTGGAACTCCTCTAGTGCTCAGTATTTTTGAGAATAAAGTCGATCAATCTTAAGAAAATACAATGTTAAATTTACTTGTTTAATATCATATTACAAGATCCCTTTATTGTAATTTCCAATCAAATATGATTTGTTCAACTCAAAATCGTTGAGTATAGATCAATATTTATTCCATTCAATTTAAAACACTTTTCGAGCAAATTTACTAGTTAGTTTCTAATAACTGTCCATGCTACCGTTAGTCCATATCTAGTGAAGATACACAACATTAAACTACTCGTCACTGTGCTTCGTTCATTTATCTCTTAATTAAATCCTAAACTATTAAACTGAAAACTAGATGAATTAATATTGAACAACATTAAATCACATACGTAAATGGATCCTAGAAGTTTAGTTGTAAGTTCATTTCTATTTTAATAGTTTCTATTATTGAAAAGTCAGGAAATAGACTTTTAGTTAGGTAAAGTAACCGACAATTACACTATGTTAAGGTTTTTGTTACATACTGACATGAATTATCCTACTGTTGAAAGTAAATAAACGGTTTACAATTTTCTCGCTTCATTATAATGATGTGTACTAAGTGCTTTGTGTTAATTTGTATATTTTCTACAGTATAATATGAATTTACATATCTATTAACGTCTATATCATCACATAATGAGTGGTTCACATGTATTATGCTTGGTAGTCGTTCTGCCAGCCCGTTTATCCAACTTTGGGAATAATTAGACTTAAAAGTTATTAAATGCTTTGTTCAAAGCATGATGAAATTTGTCTGGAGACTCCTGAAAATCTAAAATACTGTCTACAGAAAGTTAGAACATCACTGCAGAAATTATTTCATGCGTTCATATACCCACACAGTTAGAAAAATACAATGAGTGATTTCTATGGTCATCTGATTTCATGATCATTGTCACAGTAAGGAAATAACATTCAATTAACTGATCCAGCACGAATCCTTAGAAATTTACATCTGTGACTTTGCATTCGTTGACTGAGGTGAATTCAATTTTTATAACTGAAAACAATCACAAACCATACACCTTTGACTTTTGCCGATCACCTTTAACTATCTCAAATTTTGAGTTGATATCCAGAATGTTAGCTACATCGGCATTCTTGAGTGACGCCTAATGATTATCTTTAAAGAGAGAGTATGATGGTAATTCTAATATAGCTAGCTGAATATTGAATAAGTCAACAACAAAAATACCGCTGATTCTGAATCTGAACGGAATGCAATTGATTTTCACGGTCAAGCTAGAATATAAAAAAGATGAGCGGATAGTAACCAACAAGTAGAGTACCAAATATGTGCTAGTGTGCCCTTGTGTTATTTTATAAATATCAGAGCTTACACAGATTGACACAACCATCTACGCCTAATAAGAGATATTTCAGATTGTAATTATTGAGATTTTGGGGTTTATTATTTAGGAAAGTTTCGAAAGGACAAGGATTATTTTACTAGCGCCCCTATTCGCTATCTTTTTAATGTGAATACCTGTTATTCAATGATGTATTTGTTTGTTGTGTACATATACTTAGAAGCGTGTAGCTATGTATTTTATTTATCAAAGTTAAGACCTGTTTATCGTTTTATAGGCGCATAGGCGTAACTCACAGAAAGATTTTTTATTTATCAGAATGATTATATTAATGTTTCAAGGTATTCACACTCAACTCCACCCCTCATTGAAACAGAGAGAAAAACATGGAGAGAATAAAAGAATGAGTAAATAAATGTCACGTGATTAATCTAGCTTAGCAATAGCATACACAAATTCTGACAAGAAAACTACGATGCAAACAAATACGCTCATATAATTTATACAGGAGCAGTAACTTCCGCGTCCATATATGTAGGCACGCTTCTTGAGAAGTGATGTTTCTCAAAAGAATACTTAGATAAGAAAGATGTAGAAACACCTACCTTTCCCCTTCGCTCACATTCTCGCTTGCTTTCTGGTTATTCATCTCCTACTTCTTTTCCATCGAAGAAAATTCATTCGATTGAGATGATGAGCGTATATGATGGCAATAGGAGAAAATAACAGGTTAACGACGTTGCAGATGTAAACGAATGAGTAGCCGTATTATTTATATAGTTTCCTCTTCGACCTGGTTCCGCCACGTTCATATAGTAGTTGTGAAACTAATGTCCAGCGTGCATGCATATGTATATGATATATTATAGTTTGTAAAATTGATTGTTCATTTGTGGAGATTAAAGTTTGAAATGAAATAGTCTAGGAAGTTTAAAAAAGCCTTAGTATAGACATGTTTATTTTAATAGAATTGGTTTTTAAAGTAATACTTTCCATTTCGTGTAATCAAATTATTCTCATATAGTTCTTTTTTCTTTGTTTTTGAATGGTGTGTGCTCCTCAGTTGCTTTTTCTAACATCTGTTTTCCCAAGATAAACGAGTTTAAAATAACACTTAATATAACTGATATACGGTGAAATACTTCAATCAGAATACTCAGTTTACATTAGTTTCAATGAATAGTTGGCCCTTGAAAGAAAACATTAAGTGATAAACTGCCCAACAATTTAAATTCTGTTTCACAGACTATACTAATTAAATACAGTTCCCATTTGTAGCTCAAACAACTTGATCTATCTAGCATTTTCTCCAGTTTCAAATGTTTAAAATACATACTGTAGCTTTGTTTCGACCGTAACATCAGTATAAGTATAAAAGTAAGATTTTCATATTTTCTATTAGCTTTTCCGAAGGTGATATTGGTCATTTGGATTCGGTTGCAACTTCGAATACTTTTTCATAGTATCAACCATACAAGAAATATCAACATTAATTGGAAGTTTTCAGTAGAATTATTAGTTATGTAAACTTCATCTGACTCAGATAAAATTGATCTTTTAGTAACGATCATCGAGGTGATTCGGTAAATACAAACTTATTTTTTCGATGTGTGAGAAAACATTGAACCTTCCTTCAAAAAATGATTGTATTGTAAGATCTTACCAAGTTTGTAATTAGTAATTACTGTTTACACGCATTTTCATAATGAAACCTTCACGGAAAACTTTAGATTAAAACAGAACAGTTGTTTGGAGTTTGCCCGTTTTCAATAACTATATGGCTGATCTCAGTGTGTAATAAAGAGGAATCAACTATAAACCGAAAGTCCCTACATAGACGATTGGTTACATTCTCTGAACGTCGATATCTGATTATTGCATTAGAAACATTAATCGTGAAATTGTGCATTAAAATTAAACTACTTCCTACCAGGTACTAAAGTCACATGCAATGATCTATCAGCTCACTTGATAGCTTCAATGTTTGACAATGAAATATTCTACAAATAATCTACTTTTAATATATAGTAACGTATCACCTCATATTTACCATTGCCCACAATTCAAATACTGTCTCTATGACACTATGATATGAGTAGATGCTATCCAACAGCAATCTAAAATAGTTTTTCCAAAAACTCATATTGTCATGAAAAAACAAAACAAATACTATATAAGAATTTGCTCTTTTCAAACTGTCAAACAACTTCGGAATATCACTTTGCTTTAATTCATTTGGCTGGATCTAGTTAGTGTGAAATATACAGCTTTCCAAAATAGATCTCCGTCAGTACACTTCTAATAAACTGATTATAGCTGAATATATTTTTAGCTTTTAAAATATTTATAATAAAAATTTATCACTGTTACCTATTCTAACTTATTTTGAATAATCGAAGTTACATTGAAACACAAATCTACACTGAACATCATCTGATATCCTGAGCAATTGACATATCCGTTTGGAATTTCACACTCTAGAAATATACAAATACATATTGCGTACGTTTTTGTGCATGACCCCACTTGTAGCAAATAAAATAACTTACCACTTGTTCTTTTTATAAAAAAATTAACTTTTGCATGATATCTACTACTTATAAACCATAAGTAGTTTCTTTGTTGTCTCTAGTGTAATAATAAAAAGTAGCCTCATAAATAGTCATTGACTTCGTCAGCATTAGTATTCTGACTGGTAGGAAGGACTTTATTTAACAAGACATTTTTTACTATTCTAATGTTTTTTATATTTTTGAGTGAATTAAGTTCTGAAATAGCGATTATTTGCTTGCTTTAATAAACATATAGCATATGTTGTTGTCCCACTATAAACGAAGTTTTATACAGTCTCAGTTTTCCATTGTACGTATTCATTTATGTTGTATGTTTGTATCTAAATATAGGGATATGTCAGCATGTACTCACTACAAAATGGGGTGGTAAGATTTAACATATATTTTCAGCATTAGAAGAGTACGGAATGAGAGAATCCATAATTACTCATTTATCGCTATTATTATGTTCCTTCAGTTTTTTCATACTTCATTCGTCTCCACCCTCATTAATAAACCATATCATAACTAATAATCAAATAAGAGCAAAGTTTGTACCTTAGGTCATAACAACAACAATTTTACCACCACCACCACCACCACCACCACCACCACACTAATCATCACCGCCTACTTCACCAAATACATGAAGTTCATTTTTCTGTTTACTTACTCGTACTGATAAGCCGAGCAAACACGACAATGACAGCGGTCACAAATCTCAACCATGTCGATGCAGATATATATATATATATATATATATATATATATATATATATATATATATACGCATATTTTCCTGTATTTTTCAGCGAGTTCTCTCACTTTGTCTTTCTATTTGTCGTTTACTTACTCCACCACCGTATTTTATCCCTTTTTATATGAATAAATTAAAGTGAGGTAGGATAGCTAGTGAGTACGTTGGTTGGTAAGTTAGTTAGGTAAGTAGACACTGAAATCGTAAGGAAAACATTTAACCGAAATAACAATCAGGTGGACAGATGAACGATGTATTCTCTATAGGAAAATATGTTTTTAATAGTTCGATCTAAAAAGCAAGCATATTCATGCTCATGTTTTGTTTTCGATTTACAAAAACAAGTTTTTAAATTGTTATTACTATTGCTGCAACAACCTGCGTTACTCACTATACTTGTATGTTTATTTTCATAATGTATGAGTACATAAAATCTGTATATATACCATGTGGGTGTGTCTGTTATGTGCGGAACATGGACGGTTGCTTGCTGAAATTTACTGAGTTAGAATTTATGAAACTAATATTAGAAAGCATTATTTACAAAACTATCATATACTGTGTCTAATATTTGTGACAGAAATAATGCTTTGGAAATAACTTACTACAATAGCCGTTTCGTGTTGCAATTTTTCGAGGATTAGACTGCTTTGAACGTAACTATTGAAACTAACGGAATGATTAGTGAAATGAAGAGATCCCTTTAAAAAAACATCCAAACGAACAAAAGACAATCTGTAATATGGGAGAGAGATTGGACTGGTTGACCTAGAAAAATAACTCCTATCTCAACAAATATTTGTTTACGCACTCATCACGAGAGCTTATTGAGTAACACTGACGTTGATCAAATCAAAATATTCCAATACACCCCAGTATTTATTTAGATAATATTAGTCTAAGAGAATGACCGTAAATTCTGCTTATCTTGATAGTATTTAACAAGGAAACATAGTTTTGTCTAAATTTTAAATGAAAATGAAACGAAAACGTTTCATGAAACCATTAAGTATGAACATACTTATTCACTATCAGCATTTCTGAAGACATTACTCCAAGAAAATATTAATTTTTGGCAAATAGGGAACTTTTTGAAACTAAAAATTCTTTTTGGAAAAAAGAATTCATGAATCACAGTTAATAAGGAAGGTAGGATTCCACTTTCATTATTGCTGAGAATCTATGTGTCAATACATCACTGTACTCTCTTTATAACATGTTTCTATTTGTAATGTTTATCATAATACTACCGTTCACTAGTTTTACATGTGAGAGAGGCTTCTTTTTAACTGTAACACAAAACGTTTTATTTTAACCAAGTGAAATGAGATAAACATTCATATATGTATCGTTAAGGAAAGTTCTAAATCATTGAAAATGGGTTTATGAGAATATCGCTTTGGTGAATCTAGTTAGGTAATCAAATGGGAAAATACGATTACAATTCTACAATGAAGTTTACTAAACGTTAGGTAATTGAACTTTTTTTTTTTCGTTGAAAAACCCAAATAAAACTTCCAACATTTTTTCATATCAAGGTGTATCAATCGATATTGTTTCTCTTAAAATATGTTTTTCTCTGATAAAAACAACTAACAATCAAATTTCAACTGCTATTATTGTTTCCCACCAAAAAACTTTTTTTCAAAAAATGTTCACAAGCTCCTCAGTGTGTACAATGTGGAAAATTCAATATTGAAAATCAACAATGGGTTTTCGACAGAATTACTGAACTTTATTTATGCAGTGAATGTAATCAACAAGTCAACAATGACAATAATAAAATTAAGTCAACAAGAAAAATGAAACATCTACCAAGTATAAATGCACCGGCTGATAAAGCTAAGCCATTCTTTGATCCATTACTGAATTATGGTACACGGAATAGAAATCGATCAGGTTTAGATCAAGATAATGGGAGTTTGTCTCTTCTTATATGGAATGATGTCAAATCTTACTCTAAAGATCCTTCATTTATATTCAATCCTACGGACAATTTTAATGAGATAGGTAAGTTGTTAATTTTTCTTTTAGTAATTTTCAAACTTTTTGGTGGCATGTTGTTGATTTTGCGTAATGTGAATAAATATTTAATATTAAGGTTTTTGCAATATGAAATGAATATCTGTACGGATGTTCACTGAAGAGGTTTCTGAACCAAAGGACATTGACAATTATAACTGTCAGCGACAAAAATACTGTAGAAACTATTGATAAAAAGAAATACTCGAACACTTTCTTCAGGTCATAATTTGTGTTAAGCTATTTGATATCAAGCATACCGAGTGAAGTAGTTGCAATTGTAAAAGATGTGATTTCATTCCTAGAGAATTCGACAACAAATAAGTATGACTCACCGGTCGGTGAATAACTTACACATTTTTGTTAGGAGGATTGCTTCACATCTTTTGTTAAAGACTGAAGGGGACATTTATGAGTTTCTTGTTGGTCTAAAAGGTCACATTTAAATATTGGACTCTGTTAATTAACACTTGACCTACATGTAAAATTGTGATTTGTTTGTTTATTATGTTTTTACGTTCTTCATCAGATAAACACTTGCAAATACAATCACCTCAAGAGATTTCAAACTATTCTACATGGTCACAATATACAACGAACGTGATGAAGGATGCGGCTGTTACTAGGGTACCAATCGATCCAATACGTAGTGAAGAAAACATCTCAAAGTCATCTAATTCAGTAAGCTCTGGATTTGTCCTTACGATTTTTAGCGTTATTGTTGAATAACTATGTTACATCATCGAGGAGATAATACAAATAATCATGCTACTTTATTGTGAGAAACAGATTTTTTTTCAACATTAATCATTGAATTATGTTAAAGACTTCATTCTCTTTCATCAGGACCATGTGATATGAGAGTATGACACATGTAATTGCGTATTATAAAGCTTTTAATACTACGTAGAAGTAGTACATGGTGTAAGTTGTTAGTTTACGGCAAATCATAACTATACTACTTTGCATAGTTCACAGAAGGCATCACGAACTTTCCCTATTCTAGCAATTAACTAATAGTTGAGTAGGGTATCAGAAAAAAACATACTGGAAAGCATAAGTATATTTCAAGAAATGAAATGACTGTAGTAAAAGTTTCTAGTTTTTACCTTCAAGGCGAATCAATTATAGAACATAGAAAATTAATCCTATTATTTATCAAATAATGGATCCACGCTCTTAGAATGGAACACAATCGGATAATAAAATCAGTTACGTTAATCTCTAGAGTCAGATAACACGAGAATCTGTTGAAAAAAGGTGCTTGCTGTTCAGTATGACTTTTTATGATATTTCACACTTAAATTATGGTCATATCAGTTGTCTCCAATATATAGCTTGGTATACTGTAATTATTAGTTCAAAGATAACTCAATAACTGTTCATTACTAATCCTTTTTGACGTGACTTTGACTATATTCAACACCAGTTTTCATTCTTTAGTTAACACCAGAATGTTTAATTTAAAACTTTGTTTATTCGAATGAGTTTTGAAGTATCCCATATCTCATCTTTCATCTCAAGTTCACAGTTTATATAATATACCCTTGTGGGCCAGGGTAATTTTACATTGGTTTTCAGGAGAACCAGACACCATTCGGACTTTCACATAAAAACCCAAACAGTACAGCTCAACCCTGTTTAGCAAGGGAACCAGACACCGTACAGGCTTTAACGCTACAATCTGAATAGTACAGCTCAATCCTGTGGCGCAACCACACAGCTACCAAGCACCCTGGTGGACCATTCATCTCAAATTATTGGTTAATTCCCACTGAAGAGAAATATACTGAGATATTTTTTCATTAATCTATTATGACAGTTACAACCACTGTTTACTAATACTTTACATGATCTATCAACTCTTTCTTCCTTTTTTATCATCACCAGTTAAATATTCCAAACTCTACACGTCGTTCAGGACAATTTTGTACCAATTGTAATACTTCAGCAACTACCCTATGGCGTCGTAATACGGAAGGAGAACCAGTTTGTAATGCATGTGGATTATATTATAAACTGCACAAGGTTAGATAACAAAAACGTTCGTAATTGCTTTAACCCACTTGAAAACAAAATAAGACTTAAGAATCCTGTTACTGTATCATTGTGTGGGCATTGGTTTCTCCACACCTGATGGAACAGAGTCATATATTTTCGATATGCCTTATAAAATATGTCTGGGAATTTATCCGCTATAAAAATATATATTCTGTCCGATGAATTTGTAAACTAAACTATTTAGTTTCTTGATGAAACTTCAGGACAACTCTTAATAGATTTATCAGATGTTTAGGATTGTTTTTGAAGATAAAGAATTGAGGAAAACAGATCATTTTTGGTAGGTCTAGACTTTAAGTAAAGCTCACGAAGACTTTAAGGAGAATTCAAGGCAAACCTGACCATTAGCTGTGTTATTTAAAACATAGAATGTTGAGGTCTAAAATATTTTCTGATATCCGATTTATTGTTCGAATGGTTCTTCATGTACCGAACTCAGGAAAGTTGTCTTGGCTTACAACTCTAGCAAAGCATTCATGTTGAGAAAATGTTATATAAAAATGACGAAACGGTCAGGTAGCTGAAAAAGCTGACTTCCGAAAACTTTTTAGGATGTTTCAAATAGTAAAAGGGAGATGAAACGACTATACTTTCACAAATCGAAGTACTTCGAAAGAAACGAGATTGATGTCCTCTAAATTTTGTAAGATGATGTTTGTATGATCGTAGTTCACTCATTTATTGGGAACCCTGTGTACTACTTCAAAAGTGTAAATTATGTTCGGTAATAAAGATGGAGCTGGTTTTGTCTATCGGCCACATGAATGATTACCTTTTATCTATTCAACCAAGCCAAACTAAAGAATATCAAAATATTGTAAATACTCCATCGATTTGATAAATTTATCAAAATTACTGAAATAACCTAACCAATAATTTTTTGATTAAACCAAATGCAAAATCTCAGCCGAAAAAATAACCGATGATAGATCTACCATTCAAATGACCAAACGTATTATGAAGGGACTAAAGAAGAGTCATTTTTATTAAGTCTTGAGCAAAAGTGACAAATCATTTACCATATAATAAATGATTAAACGAAAATGGGTAAAAAAAATCATAAGGAAGCCAATAAAATTTCATCTCTACTGGTAGCAAAACAGACCTGGCATAAATTTCTCTTCATAAACACAAAACTAAAATAAATTTTTGAATGAATGAATTCTTTGGATGACTTATGACTTATTAAGCTGATATAGCGCATTACTTCACAGCTGACACAGTGAAACATATAAAATCAGGTGATTCAGCAACAAGGTTATTTTTTAAAAGAATTCCTCTGCTTTTAATGAATAAAAATGTGTTAGGTAACTTAGAGTTTTCTAATGATTCATATTTTACTCGTATACTTTGTTTGGATACGCCACCTGATTTTGGTTGCATTTTCAAGTTACTGAATATTAAAATAGTAGTTAAAGTATATGCAGAAAAATTCTATCAAATCATTTGTTTAAATGTTAACTACTGGAAAAATATTTTATCGACTGAAGGAATGTAAAATCTTCTTCTATGTGTCGATATAAAGATATAAGTCCTAATCAATAAGAAAGAGTCTTCACAGTCACTGGTAAAACACACAGAAAATGATTTAGGTTGACAGGATGTGCATAGAAAGATTTAAACATAGTGAATGTGATTAAAGGTATCGCAATCCTATGTTATCGTTGTTATCACGTTGTCTCCGAAAATACTGTAAATGTGACTTAGTTACTTCTGAATAGTACGTTAAGCCCACAGTTAAGACACGGTCCAATATTCTTTTATAATGCTCCAAGTTAATGAAAATAAAACAGAGTTAATTTATCGGATTATCAATATTTCTGTATCTTAGTGATGTTGAATTTATCACTAAAGATGTGTTCTAGAATAGACCACTCAATTTAATCAACACAAAACCACCAAAAACATCTAAATGAACTGCACAATTTGTTCCATTAATAATCAGCCTGATATTCTAGCATAACATGAGTCAAGAATTTCCAGTTTTGTAGTATTAATTCAGCTTTGAAATTCACTATGGCAAATATATATATGTATATAAATTAAACAGTTGACTTCATTAAAACATGGCGCTAAAGAAATTTAAATAGGAAATACCTTTAACCATAAATGTTATATTTGGATTTACTGTTCAGCTCAATAAATGTGGTCATTTGTTCAGAAGAATACTTGTGGTCTGTGATTAAGAATTTCCTGGAATATTTTTTTTACGATCTCAGATAAACCGTCCAATATCTATGAAGAAAGAAGGGATTCAAACTCGCAAGAGAAAACCAAAAATGAACACACTAAAATCTGATCAGTTATATGTACCGAATCTCTCTCGAGGTTCTGGAAAACCTATGAACAAATTAGTGACGCGTATGGATGGTTCTAAACAGGCGAGTTTTTTTATTGATAATAGATATCAGTACGATATTATATACCGAACTGTATATAACAAGAGCTGTTGTAATTACAAACCAGACAGGTGGTTGAATTCATTTAGGAGGGAACCCTAGGCCTAGGTTTTATTCTAGTTGTCCCTCACTGGCAAGGTATATCTTAAATCTTAATTGTATTGTAACTCGACTAGTAATTATTAACGAATTTGACTATGATCATGGGTCATAGGCGTTCTTAACCTATGTGGAGCATGATTTTCTTAGTCGATGGGATAGACTTTTTCCAATAAAATCAAAATGCCTAAACGACGCCGACACAGAAGTAAACGTGAGTGTATACCATTTAACATATAACCAACTGTAAGTCCTGGCTCTCAAACTTTATAGCCACGTCAACTTAGTCAAGAAATAACACGAGATCTTTCTGTGGTACCTCTAGGGGAACGGTAACCATTCTGATCTTCTTTGTCGTCCAGTTTACAATCTTAATCCATCTCAGACAAATACTATATTGTGGTTGTACATTGAAACCCACGAAGACTTTCATTGATAATAAGTGTAAGTCCATAAACTGACAGTTTGGTGATGTTATTCTCATTGAATCAATATCAGTGCTGTCTTATGCTCGGTATGAATGAAACAGAGGATTTCCGGTGTCGTGTCAGTGCCGTAAATAGCGAACGAAAATTATGTAAGCTAATACCTGCAATAGAAGACCCATTTGACACTGCTACCTCTGATGTCAGTGAATATAAGAACAAAACTATTGAGTATTTTGGACAAAGATCTATGACTGATTCTGAACACCATGACGAATAGGTATCAGCGACTAGTTAGCCTATAGGATAACGTTGGGAGTCCTCAAAAGATAGGTCAGAATGTCTTAGAACTTCATGCTATGTATCAGACTTCGAAAGGCGCTGTATGATATGACTTTACTCCAACAAAGAGTCTCTTCATGGACGATATTAAGTTCCCAACAAAAAGAAAATAATCACAAATAAACTTATAGCTAATAAAATTGCTTCCTAGACAATAAGTACATACTAAATCAAGACCACATACAACGATCCTTGTAACGAGAGTGTATTGACTTAAGAGATAAGTGAGCCAAATCAATACTTTTACAGCATATTTCATTGATAATGTAGGTTTCCCAATATAACTCATGTACTATTCATTTGAGCCTATTAAGTAATGGGTACAGATTGTGTTAGTCTATAGACAATACATGACCCGAATTATTGGGAAACTACCAATCTATGGCTACTACAATGAAATATCGTGTTCAAATGAGCCCAGGTAATGGATTAATGATGACTTAAAAGCATTTTTATGTTTTTACTTTTCAATATATAAATTAGTTTCATATATCATTAGTTGCAATTTCAAGATAACTTCAGCTTTTATTAAAATTCACCAATAATGAGATTTTCTTAAGTGGCAGATTTACGACATCAATGATGAATTACCCCCTATTAGGTGATTTAGCTGCACATTGTTTGATAATAAGGATATAATACAAAAAACATTACTGTGAAAAAAGTTCTGTGAGATAAGATAATGTTTATACCAATCCCGATGTTTAATAGTCACCTATTTGAAATCATTTTTTCTTCCGTATAGCTTTCTAACCAATCTCCATATAAAACCCGACATCATCACATTCCTTACAAAGGAACAGAGGTTGAAAGTCACCATTCTATTCCACCTAGATTTGTAGCTTTCCCAAATTTGTTTTATGATGAACAAAGCATGAAAAAACAAAATCTGGATGAAAACAAATCGAATGCATTGGATTCGTTATTTCATTCTCATTCATTAAATGAAGTTCATCCAATGCATACTACAACACGTACTCCCCAATTTCCTCCACCGGTTTCACTATCTCATCATCACCGAGTGAATATAGACGAACCCAACAGTTCAGTTAGCGATATTCATTACAATCAATATGGTGACCAAGTTGAAAACACTGCGATGATGATCAATCGGTTACCGATATTGAATAAAGTAACAGGAGAGAATTGTATAAATTCATTATTAATCTGGTCTAACACGTCGAGAACAAACGATGATTCGATGAATACTGTATTATTAACCAACTTTATAGAGTTAGACCGTAATCATAATCAGACTATCACTGAAGACGATAATGAGAATAGTAATAACAATAATAATGAGAATAGTGATAAACACTCCAATATCCCGATTGATTTTTCAAATACAGTTGTCGACTTTATAAATTTTCAATATCAAGAAATCCATGAAAAATCCGAAACTCCAAATTTACTACATCCAAACTTTGAACAGAAAACTATGGTGACTGACGATGTAGTGAGTAATGAGAAGTCAACAATCTATCATACTGCAAGTTTACAACTGAAATAAGTTTTTTCTAGTCGTGATTATTTTCCATAGTGCCATTATTTAAAACAGCTGTAAATACGGTAACAGTTATAAACAAGCTGAATTTACGTGTTTTTTTTCAATGTAATAATATGTCTATGTATTTTACTTAGTTCCTAGCAGACCTTCTAAAGGTATGTGTAGTATACTATTCTCTCCTAACTTTCAGTGACCCACTGTTAGTGTCGAAATGACTGCACAATAGTCAACAATTTCACTTACAAGACAGTGGACAGTATTTAAATATTTCTGGTCAACTGATGACAGTAATAATAATTGTGGTGATTACTTAACACTTGAGTGCAAGAGATAGTATGATCATTAGACTTAATATGCATTACAAGGAATGCTATTATGAGCTAATAAATGCATATATGCGTTTATTTTACTGTATAATTTTATCAAAATGTACACAGATGATCACTGGCTACGAAAGAAAATGTAACCAATGAAATATTAATTGACATTCTACACTATCTACAATGAAAACCATCATTTTTTTTCTAAGACGTGTTCTGAAATGTACTCATAATATTGATGATTCTCATTGGAATCATCAACCAATCTAAGTTAGACAACCATTGAAAATTTGGAAGCACTGCATGACCGTCTTACCCAAGTGTAAGACTCCTTGGCAGTGCATATACACGACTCCGTACTCAGGAATCGAATTCAGGACATTCGGTCTCATGTGAGGACGCTTAATCTTACCAACAACTAAATAATCATCGTTTTGTGTAAACTCATAAGTAATCTGAAGAATACTAAATCTCTTGATGATTTTACTGAACCTCATTCTACGAGTTATGCATACATGTACCCTTCAAAAAGAGCATAAAAATATAAAGTTCAGTATCCGATGTACTAATCCATTATAAAAAAATTTCAAATGGTTATTTCTTCTCAAAAGTTTCTAAAATCCTTCAAGAACATAAGTATTTGGCTTGCAAGCAGTATTTAACCTTGGAGATGGATACAGGCTGAACTTAAAGGATCATATGCTTTATTCTTCATTGTTTATTTAATTTGTTTCGATCAAATACACTATGGCCACCATAATAAAATTTAGCTCTATGATGCATTCGTACAACCGTAGATGCCTGAATCTTAACCTTGCATCAGTAAACTCAATTGAAACTCACCAATGTTCAACTAGTCATATAAACTGTAACATATAAATTAAGATCCGAGATTTATTATTTTCTCCAGTGTGACATACCTGCATACATATATCGTGGTAGGTAACATATTCCTCATTTGTCTTCCAAAACTTTTTCGATGAAGCTTACCTGTTTTTACCTTAATCACGTTTGGTAAGACCATATCATGTTCCTCATACACTTTCACCCCTAGAATCTGTCATAGAAACACAACGTTTTCTGTGTGAAAATTTACTGAATAATATAGTTTTCATAGCTGAAATGAGAAGGGGATTCATGATTGCCATATATAAGTATCATCCAGAATCCAAGTAACTGTCTATAGTCTTTAATTATAATATACTTTACGATGTGACATAGTTCTTCACTATGATATTGTTGAAAAATATAATATGAACATTTTCAAATGGTTTTATGCCTAACACCCTTAAAGCGACAAATTTGAAAACCAGTGGTTATCTTTTTAGTGGCTTTCAGATTTACTTTTTGTCAAGGTCATCAGAAGTGCAGAAATATTAGTTAAATACCGCTCTCAATTCAATCGTACATGTATTAGATTAGCTGTAATGAAACTGTTCATTAGACTAAAGAGATAAGAGTTCCAGAATCTCAGTAATAAAGATCATTTCAACTACCCATTGAGTTGCCCATATTGATTGTATATAGATACAGAAAATGAATTTCAGATGGGTAGCTGAAGATATTTGAGACAGGTACAGAATACCCACTTATAGTTTCGAATAACAGTAATGACTTATTTTAAGTTGGACTGTTGTGTTTATAAATTTTCAAAAAACTGCTCAATGTTCTTATATGTATGAAAAATTCGATAGGCTTAGTGAATTAACGGGTATGCACTAATAATCGAAGAATCCTTACACGCCTTACACACATATATATAGTAAGACTCAAATTTTCTGTTTACTAGGCAGCAAGAAAACTGAATTCATCATTATGATCCTCCAATCATAATCGAACTAATGCACAAAAACGAAACCATGGATTCGGAAACTAATGTTCTAAATTTTTGGTCATCTGCCTATTAGTCACAAGTTAAAAGTTCTTTTTCCATTTTTATCGTAACACTAAAATCTTACTAAACTGCTTCGTAATTTGCTCTTGTATGAAGTTATATGAATTCGGAATTTCTTCCTTTTGACTAGTTCATAAACAAAAATAATTCATAGGTGAATGTTTAGAATGTTCTAGTTTAATCCCTACTGTTACTTATCAGACCATAAATAAGAATTTTCGTTATGTTTGTTTTAAATCGAATTGAATAGCGAATAACACTACTATTAATAAGGACAGTTCAAACTATTGCGCAATGTTTGCAGTATATATGAACTTATTTTACATTTCCACGCTAGTAACACAGCTGATAATACGCCGACATGGATTCCAGATAAATCGATCAGGATAATAATGATCTAAACAATGGATTGTGACGATATGGTTTCCAAAGTTTTATACCATTTGATAATGAATATTTTCCCAAAGGTCAACAGTTACGCTTAACAGGTTTCCAATAGAAAAAAATTATAGAACCGCAGCTAGGTCGTGAAAAATCACTTATCCATAAAGAAACAGCTTCTCGGTGGTATTTATAGGCATTCTAACTATGAGTTAGAACAAAGACAAAACTCATGGAGTACTATTTTCAGTCCTAGTCAACAACAGTGAGTGCATTACACATTTATCAGTACGATGAAGCAAACAACTTATAGTAAAATATAACCGTCTACTCAATGAATAAAATAGAACTGAATTAAATATAAGCATAAGAAATTTAGTTGTGTTCACATAATATCAGTAGCATTTTTGATAGACAACATTTAAATGGTGTTTTTATGTAGTCCTGTTGTGGGTTGAATACCAACTCTTTCCCATCAATATTCAACGAATCCATTTCAATTTTTATGTCGTTGAAGTTGTATCCTCATCTGTTCTTACTTGAGATTTCTTTTTAAAGAAAACCCTATAAGTATCGAAACTTTATTTTTTGTAGTCATAGAATTAAAAATAACAACTTTCCATAAATTATAGTGATATCTTACGGGAGCTTTCAGCGATCTAAGTCTATAAGGGAAGTTATAACCATAATAGATACTGAAAAATTAATCAAATAATAAGGGGAAAACTGATTAATTGATTGTTCCTTAAAAACACTCTTTTGTTTCTTCACTCTTGAAAAAAGTCACTTCTTTGAAATTATAAATCTAACATTATTTTCTTTTCAAAACAGAACTCAATAACTAAAGAACATTCAGTAAATTTAATGAATCCACTAGAACCAAATTTTCCATCACCATCAAACTTCAGCCATTCTTCAGAAATATAACGGAAAAAGTTGTTAATTAACCCCTTCCAATAAATGATGCACAAAGCAATTCAAAATACCGAGTGGATCAAACTATTGCTTGGATGAAGAATAATTTTCCCTTGTTTTTTTCTCTCCTGTTTCTGTTGTACATTTGAATAGATTTGTGCAGTTTTGGAGGAATCAAGTAACTTCTGTCAACTTAACTCACCAAATTTAATCAATGTGAAGACAACATTTGATTTGAAATTGCTAATTATGTTGTCTTATGAAAACTTGTATATGAATCAAAGTCTTTTCATATTGATTAACATGAGTTATCTATTACAGAAAACTATTTAGACAAACATAAACTACATATAATATTATAATTATTCTTGAACTAAGTCAGTCATCCAGTTAAACAATGAACTTGTTAGAACTCTTGTGATTATTCTATTATCAATAATCAATAAACCCTTACTATCTTTCTAGTTGTTCATGTTTGTTTCTATTCTTTTGGTTAAACTGTTTTCTTTTCTTTTTGCAATGACAAGTAATAAAATGTAATCTGTTCTCTATTAATCAGTGTTTAAAATGAACGATTTGAATAATTTCATAATAAGGTCTGAATCTTTAAATTTATCCCTTGTTTTAAAATGAACTAACCATGTGTTTAACACCATTCGATTTGTGATTCATGAGTCCAAATATTTGAATGCGAACCGTGAAAGGTTTATTACAAATCTTAAACGTAACTTGTATGAGACATCTATAAGTTGATAACACATTGAAAAAGTTGATTATTATGATCACGAAATGAGAACAGACGACACGGAACAAAAACAACTAAAATTACTGTGACAAGTCTGTCGTCATTATCGTTGGTTCTTTTGTGACCTACTGCTTTAAATAAATTTTGTTTAAGCCGATCAACTTAGACAGTAATGGGTAAAATATCAACAAGAAAGGAAGCTTGATAAGTGTACTTAGTAATGGTGGTGATCAAACGTTTAATGTCCACATAATTTCACTGGTGGAGTGAGATATGGTCACTGGTGTAAACATTTCTAAGGCTACTTCAAAGCAGAGGTAATAATCAATATAGCGTACAAACGAGGTTAGTTATTTCGTTTTACGAATAGACTGGTAAATTATTCCATAGTCCCGAACTTTACTTGCAAACTAACTCATTTTGACAGAGTAGATTTAAGATGAGACAATTTAAATTTTGATAGTGACGAGTGCTATAACTCAGTGATTCTTCATATTGTATTGCACCAGTGGATGTAAAAGATTACATTTAGTTTGTCATCACTTCTAAAAAGGACCAATCCCTAGCTTAATGCATCTGGATCTGTAATTCAAAGTGCAATTACTCCCAAGAATCTGAAGTGCATGGCGTTGCTGGACAGATTCAAACCTGAGATGATCCTTAATGCATACACTACTCGGAATAAAAGTACAGTATTCGGGGACTGACCGGACGCATACTTTCTACGTCTAAATACGTGAGCCACTGTTATGGAAATTACTTAGTATATAACCTAGAACTTAGAAGAACTTTGAGGTCTACATGGGAGCTTTTCACTCCTAAATCTACCACAATGAAACCTACATAGCACCTGACCAGTTAGGAATCTCATAGATCCAGAACCATCAAAGCATTCTTCTAAACAAAGAAGGAAGGGATCACAATGAATATCATCCAATGCTATGAACCCACCAATGATAGCAGTGAAAATGATAAAAATTATTTTTGTGAGGCTGCAGTTGATCGTAGAGGAGTGCTCAAGAAGGGACCTGAGCGTCCTGGTAGAAGACCTAAACGCCAAGGTCGAAATGGACAACACCGGGTATGAAAATATCCTTGGACAACATGGACTGTGAGAAAGTAAAGAAAATGGTGAAAGATTTGCAAATCAACGTACCTTCAACAAAATGGTTATAAGTGACACTACTCCCCCACCACAAACACAAAGCTACATACGATTCGTTGGAGTACCCTACAGAGAACCAGGTCAATCACATCTGCACCAGTAAAATGTCCAGAAGTTAAATGGAAGACGCAAGAACAAAGAGATGAGCTGATATAGGTCCAGATCACCATCTATCATCTGTTGGCAGCTAAGAAACACTGAACAACTGGGAAAACAGCCTTCCTGAGAGGTGCCAACAAACTCAGAGAACTCAAGATATCTCTCAGCAACAGATTCCGAGTCTTACAAGATCTACTCAAAGAAGAGGATACTATCATAAAGAGCAACTGGCAAGCGATGAATAAAGCACTAACTCCAATGTGTAAGGAGGTTCTGGGCCACAAGAGGCATCATCATAAGGAATGGATTCCTACCGATACCCTGGGCAAGATTCAAGAAAGGAAGAACAAGAAGATATCAACTAACCACAGTTGAACAAGAACAGAGAAAGCAACCCAATTACTGAGATTCAAGAACAGTGGAACAGGTGGGTAGAGCTCTTTGAAGAACTCTTGAGTAGACCAGCTCCACTGAATATTGAAGCAGAACACACAGACCTTCCTCTAGATGTTACTTCACCAACAATAGAAATCAGGATGGCCATCAAACAAATCAAGAGCAGGAAAGCAGCAGGACCTGACAATATACCATCTGAAGCTCTGAAGTCAGATATGGAAGTAACTGCAAGCATGCTTCACATTCTCTTCAGGAAGAACAAACGCCGCCGACAGACTGGAAAGGACAACTCACCAAGATACTGTCAGTGCCAGGAAAAGTTTTCAACAGTGTTGCTGAACCAGATAACGCTCAAATTCGAAACCAATAGGCTGGATTCCGTAAGGATCGATCGTGCACAGACCAAATCGCGACATTACGGATCATTATTGGGCAATCAACTGAATGGAACGCGTCACAATAAACCAACATCCCTGACTGTGAAAAGACGTTTGACAATATGGATAGGAGATCCTTATGGAACGTTCCTCTACAATATGGTATACAGAATTCATGCGACGGACTACACTGCGAAGTCGTGCAAGGTGGACAGCTGACAGATGCATTGCAAGTGAGAACCGGAGTTAGACAAGGCTGTTTACTCTGCCTCTCTCTTCTGGTGTTTGAATGGATTACGAATACCTTCACATCTAAGAAGAAGCACGGAATACAATAGAGCTTGGATGCATTCAGACGATCAGGACTTTGCAAACCACCTAGCTCTTCTACTATATACACAGCAACAAATGTAGGTGAAGACAGCCAGTGTGAAACCAGCCTCTGCATCAGTAGGTCTCAACATTCACAAGAGAAAAAGCAATGTCCTATAATACAACACAGAGAACAAACCCAATAGCACTCGGTAGAGCGGTGAAGTAGGTGGGAACTTCCACATATCTGGGCAGCATCGTGGATAAACAAGGAGTATCGGATGCAGATGTAAAGACAAGGTTTGGCAAAACAAGGCCAGTATTCCTACAAGTGAAGAATATATGGAACTCAAAACAACTGTCAGCCGACATCAAAGTTAGAATTTTCAGTACAAATGTCAATACATTTCTACTGTACGGAGCTGAAACTTGGGCAGCTACTATAACCATCATCAAAAAAAGCACAGGTATTTTTAAATAATTGTCTACACAAAATACTTAATATCTGTTGACCGGATAGCATCAGCAACAGCTTACTGTGGCAGAGAACAAATCAACTTCTAGCTGAAGAGAAAATTAGAAAGACGTTGGAGGTGGGTAGGATAAATATAGCAGAAAACACCAAGCTGCATCATGGAACGAGCTCATACTTGGAATCCCGAAAGCAAAATGGTAAGACAGACCAAAGAACACACTGAGTTAGATTGGAAGCAGACATCAAAAAAGTGAACAACACAAAAGAGGGCTCAGGACAGTCGATTGGAAACTGGTGGTCGGTAGTCAAAACTCCGCGAGGAGTAATAGACGTGGACATGCAAACCAGTCCTATATAGCTATTAAACAGGGAATTACACCCACTTGGTCATCCACTGACGACAAGCATGACTGCTTCAGTGGTAATGTTCTTCGGCAAAATATGATAGTAGAAATAAGCTTTTATTTTGTAATATTCCGAGTAAACAGTAGAAAAAATAAGGAAACGGTTCATTTATTGCTTTACGTATATTTCGCCGCTATCAAGACAAAATGGTGACTAGGAAAAACGTCCAGTGGTTCAAGTATTTACACTTCACAAAGATAAGAAAATATAGAATATTGTGAGACGAATAACTATAGAATAATAAGAGAATTCATTCAAACAAAGAATGAATATATCTAAATCACTATAATCAATGTTGAGTAATGTTACTTGTAGTTTATACACACTAGCTTACATCATATAAAGAACATCAAGGGGAAAGTATCCATCATAATGAGAAAAGACTATTAGGATGGTTTACAAGATATTCTTAGATCAGTTTAACACTTCATTTATTAACATTCCACTCTGTGGGAAAATAGCACTTTTAGATATTTCATGAGGTACTGTAAAACTCACTTTACATCAAATACAACACAAAGCCTGAAAAATTCTTAACTAACAATTGTACGTCTTATTGGAAAATCTAGACGAATATTACCATAGTGTTGAGACGCATTTTACGAAGGCACCTACTTTTTAAGTTGAATTATTTTTAAATTCAGCGTTACATTTCAACAATTCGATTTCTAGGAGTGTAGTTGGTTTACATCACTTTAGCGAAGTAGTCCACAGTGCAGTTTAGTTTTTCCAATTGTTATGAATGTTATCATAACGAAATGTTGACAAAGTTCAGCTGGCTACTTTCTGACTTTATAAAACGCTAAATGTATGATCTGATTTTAAGATAATGGAGAAAATTTGTAGCTCAGGATGTTACAGTTATCGCTATCTCTGAGCTGGAGAGATTGGTTGTGAAGCTCTCTTTTTTCTTCTGAATGTCACCAATATGTACTTCGAGAGGAAGTACGTGTTAGGCGTTCGCGCGCGAAACCGAGGGTTATGGATTCGATTATCGCTTGCATGGACGTGAATGTGCAGTCGAGGATCCCCATATTAGGACGAAACGGCCGTCTAGTGCTTCCAAGTTTTTAATGATTGTCTAACACAGATTGGTTCATCATTTCAACGGAACTCCATCATAATCAGATTTCTGTACAATCGTCTAATCTCTGTGAAATATAGTGTTACACGAAAACCTTCTGCTTCAACAAAGTTTAATAAAAATGTACAGTTAAGATTATGACTGAGGGCTTCCGACCTAATAAACACAGTATTAGTTCCATTAGAGGGGACCTAGCAACGAAGTAAACATACCTACTCAATAATGTCTCCAGAAAACAACCACTAAAACAAACCAACATTGAGATTACTTATTACTCAGTTTAATAGCACACGAGTTTTTTTTTCATAGGACGGTTGAAGGTGATACAACTCACAAACTTGCTCACGCTTAAATTTTCGATAAATGTAAAAGGCATTTTAGACTCTAGTCAGATTGTCTCTGATTGACAATTGACTAAAACATCTGAGATGGTTCATTCAAATGTTCACAAAGATCCCTAACACCTTCTTCTAGTTGGCCATGTTCTTTATCTTAAATGTAAACACCCAGAAAAAAGTAAACAATATAAAGGAATAATTGGATTGCTGAGACAGAACACTGGAGTTTTAATGCTATTATTATTATTATTATTACCAGTAGTAGGGAAAAAACAAATAAGTTACAGACATTAGCCTTCAATTTTATTTTTATTCAAAAACTAATTTTGTAAATATTGTAAAAAAAGACAGAAAAATTCATGGATGCTCTGAATACATACGCAGAAACAAACGTCAAAGAGCAAATCTGCAAGTGATAAGGTTAAAGTGAGTTTTTGTTCGTCAGTGTAAGCATGCCAAAATATTCTTGCTAATATATATATATAATTTTAATCAACCTCAATCAGTCGATTTAACGCAGTGTAATGAATATATGTAATAAAGTTTTAGCTAATACAGCTTTGACATTGGTCAATCTGTGTCCATTTTATTGTCATCAAAAGACTCATCCTTTTTATCAGCTTTAGTATCTGCAATAGTTTTTCCTTCCTTTTTATGGTCTGACTTGTCTTTTGATGATTCCTGAGAAGTCGTACTTTGGGTGACATTCGAACCGCTGTCATTTGAGGGTTGAGAGGTTGTATCAGTCGTTTTTCCTTGGAGTGCATTTGAAAACGCCACCAGGTCTGAAATTGGAATTAAAACTAATTATTAGTTATCTAAGTTGTACTTATAGAACATACCGTCCCAAAAAATGTCTCCTTCATTTTAACATGAAGCTGTGATTTAGGATTATGTTGTGAAAACACGCGCTTTCATTTGAATGACATTTATCGCGCGAAAGTTTACGACATTTATTGCCAGTCCGATAATCAACAAGTTAAGTGAGGTTTAAAATAACTCTACAAAAATTGGGAATCAAAAGTCAAGCCTCGGCAATTTCCCAAAAATTAACAGAACACACGAAATAGTCAATTGAGTCAATAATTCAGTATAGTTTACTGAACTCCGCCTGGAGTTCTTCCAGGGGCTACTGCCGGTCCCAAGCCCAGATAAAGGAGGAAGGTTGGGTATGGGGTTAGCGACCCCATCCCGTAGAAAACTAACTCGCTAAAAAAACGATAACCAGAAAATATTATTCAAACCTTTTAAACTCTGCCCTGGGAGTCAGTGTTTTCATTTAGACGAACTATGACGCCTCATAATGAAAGCCGAGTTCCTTCAAAAGTCACGAGGCCAACGCCCCTTCTAACAACCAGAGCAAAATTTTTTATAGGTACATGGAATACTCGTACAATGTGGGACACGGGGAGTCTTCCAGATTGCTGCAAAAATGAGGAGGTACAACCTAGAGGTGCTTGGGATCAGTAAAACACATTGGACGCAATTTGGACAACAACGACTAGCTTCAGGAGAGCTCCTGTTATACTCCGGCCATGAAGAAGAAAATGCCCCACATACACAAGGAGTTGCATTAATGCTGTCCAAACAAGCACAAAATGCACTTATAGGATGGGAATCTCATGGACCAAGAATCATCAAAGCCTCGTTCAAAACAAAGAAAGAGGGTATTTCAATGAACGTCATACAATGCTATGCGCCTACCAACGACTACAATGAAGACGCTAAAGATCAATTCTACAATAGGCTGCAGTCAATCGTCGAGAAGTGCCCAACAAAGGACCTGACCATTCTGATGGGAGATTTCAACGCCAAGGTTGGAACGGACAACACTGGATATGAAGACATCATGGGACGACACGGACTGGGAGAAAGGAACAAAAATGGTGAGAGATTTGCAAATCTATGTGCCTTCAATAAACTGGTCATAGGCAGTACTATATTCCCACATAAGCGCATTCACAAAATCACATGGACTTCACCGGATCACACTACACAAAATCAAATCGACCATATCTGCATCAACAAAAAGTTCAGGAGGACGATGGAAGACGTGAGAACCAAGAGAGGAGCTGATATAGCATCAGATCATCACTTACTGGTCACCAAGATGAAATAGAAACTCAAGAAGCACTGGACAATGGGGCGGGCAATATCACGAAAGTTCAATACGGCTTTTCTTCGGGATACTGACAAACTCAACGAATTCAAGACAGTCCTCAGCAATAAGTTCCAGGCCTTTCATGATCTACTCAACGGAGGAGGAACTACTATGGAGAGCAACTGGAAGGGGATCAAAGAAGCAATCACTTCAACATCCCATGAGGTTCTGAGCCACAAGAAGCACCATCACAAGGAATGGATCACTGTTGATACACTGGATAAGGTTCAAAAAAGGAGGAACAAGAAGGCAGCAATCAATACCAGCCGAACAAGAGCAGAAAAAGCCAAGGCACAAGCTGAATACACAGAAGTAAACAAACAAGTGAAGAGGAGCACCAGAACCGACAAACGTTAATATGTGGAAGATTTAGCAACGACAGCGGAAAAGGCTACAAGAGAAGGAAACATGAATCAACTGTGTGACACGACAAAGAAACTGTCTGGAAATCACCGTAAACCGGAGCGACCAGTAAAAAGCAAGGAAGGCGAGGTAATCACCAACATTGAAGAACAACGAAACAGGTGGGTAGAACACTTCAAAGAACTCTTGAATCGAGCAGCCCCACTGAACCCACTCAATACCGAAGCAGCACCCACGGACCTCCCAATCAATGTTGGCCCACCAACAATTGAAGAAATCAGCATGGCCATCAGACAAATCAAGAGTGGCAAAGCAGCAGGACTAGACAACATCCCAGCAGAGACACTGAAAGCAGAACATCTGGAACTCAAAGCAACTGTCAACCAACACCAAGGTCAGGATTTTCAATACAAATGTCAAGACAGTTCTACTGTATGGGGCGGAAACCTGGAGAACTACGACAGTCATCATCCAGAAGATACAGGTGTTTATTACTATTATTGTTATTATTAACAGTTGTCTACGCAAAATACTTCGGATCCGTTGGTCAGACTATTAGTAATAACCAACTGTGGGAAAGAACAAACGAGATCCCAGCGGAGGAAGAAATTAGGAAGAAGCGCTGGAAGTGGATAGAACACACATTGAGGAAAGCACCCAACTGCGTCACAAGACAAGCCCTCACATGGAACCCTGAAGACCAAAAAATACATTACGACGGGAAATGGAGATAAACATGAGAAAAATGAACAAGAATTGGATGAAATTAGAAAGGAAGGCCCAGGATAGAGTGGGTTGGAGAATGCTGGTCGATGGCCTATGCTTCATTAGGATTAACAGGCATAAGTAAGTAAGTAATAGTTTACTGAACTGACATTATACCCAACTAATTACAAAGAGATGGACAAAATTAAGTAGGGCTGCTTATGTATAAAACGATATATACAGGAAAATCATATTGGTATAGACCATTTGTTCAGGCGAGAAAAACATTTGACAGGCTTACCACCTCGTCTTGCAGCTTCATCGGCTTTTATACCCAAATTGAATTGAGCCAAAACAGGGGCGAGTTCACCTGTTCGAAAAGCAGCTGAGAAGGACTACAAAAGACGAATACAGTGAGGAAGCTAGTTAAGTAACAAAAACGAGTAAAAAGAGTGAAATCTTAACAAAAGTGAACAGTGATATATGCAGTACAAATATAACTGGATCTATCGTAAATTAAGTAATACATGAAATAAAGGTGTAGATACTTTAAACTTTTAACCCCAGTTTCAAGACAGTTCGCGTTATAAACGAAAAGAACAAATGTAGATTGTGTATTGTGCAAATAGACGTGAAATCTCATGAAATTTTACGGTGATATTTGAAATCAGTGTAGCTCTCAAATCTTTATTAGATTGTGTAAAAATCAAGGTAATAAGTTTGAGTATCTTCACGCTGAACTAATAATCTATGGATAGTATCCTATAGAGAAACCAAATGATTAACTAAACTCAACAAGTGGACATCCAAGACAGATATTTTAGTGAATATTTGGGTTAACTATCTCAAACACTGGTCGATCCCCATTCAGAAACAGTTAAAGCAGGATCAGTTAGTTGTCTCAAGTTTAGAATACGATAATCACCTTCAGCCTAAGCAAGTTTCTAGGGCGTATTTTGATATTAAGTAGAACCTAGAGAAATATACAGGTTCTAATTGTTCAGTTCATATCAGTATAACACGAAGTTAATAAGATGAGAAGTTAAGGGGGTTGAGATGCATAAAAAATCAAGTTCAATTCGAATGAAATAGTAGGATAAAAATGAAGGGACAATACTGAAGCTATAAAGACTGATGTATTTGGTCTTGAGCTAGAATTTATGTGAAGGAGAGCGATAATCCCTGACAGTTTATTAGCTCAATCAGATTAGTCTACATAGTGGCACTAAACCATTATATATGGAAGTGAGCACATTCGGTACACTAGACAGTTCGTCACTTAACTATGAATTATTTTTTTAAGTGCTACAGGAACATATCATCACTACGATTTTAAGAAATATAGAACAATGGAAACAGAGATATTTATCTACACTTTTTAAGGATCATTTAAAAGTTGGTCGAAAAATATAAGCAGACTCTGTCAATGGATCAACAGTTAATAAAATATTTTTAACTTCGCATTCAAACTAGTGTTCCAACAAATGCCTAAAAGGAAATAAGTAAGAAAAATAGAAACAGAAAGTGTGTGACTGAATATCCACTGAACAAAAATATACCTTCCAATTCAATTTAAAATGATGAGATCAATTTGATACTTCTTAGGAATTAGAATAATAAGAATAATTTAAATTAGAATGTTTAGGAATATTAAGCTATGAAAGAAGTGCCTCGTCAACTGAACTGTTAACTGACAAAATTATTTATGAAACTAAAATATATCTAACCCTTACTTTCAAAGTGGTTTTGAACTGAGATGACTGAATGTTTGCAGTGATATTTTCCAAGTCATTTGTACTCGCTGATTCAGGATCCAGAGGAGGAAGATGAGGCAACAATCTTTCTTGAATATCCGGCTTATTCAAAAGTGAATGTAAGTTATCTACGTTTAAGACATCGTTTAATTCTACCTTTGCATCATTTGCTATAGAGAATAAAAACATTATCAATGATTAAACAGTATAACTGTGTAAGTAATGTAAAATAATAATAAGAAAACCAATTAAAACAACCATGTATGAATTCATTCATGGGCACTAATAGTTTACTGTTTAAAAGTTTCCAAAATCAGAAGCAGAAGTACTGGCTAAGTGCAATAAAATCTTACTCGTAGTCAATTTAACATGTGTACAGTTAGAGACTAACAACAGCAAACAGATCCGTAATGCGTAACACTCCAAACCAAATACGACATAACTAGTCAAGATAGATCCTGCGATAAAATTAAACCAAACTACGGTGAAAAATCATCAGAAAGATTGGTCTCCCAGTGTTTTAATTTAATTGGAATTCATTATCAATGCATTGTAAAAAAAAATCAATACCAGTCGCACCATTTTAACTTATCCACTACTATTTTTTTATTCCTTTCTAACTCTTATTCAGAGATTATGGAATTGAAGGGTAATGTTATTCAGTCGAAGATACGGGAGGAACTTTTGAAGCATTTCAAGTCACAAGATCCAAAAAGCCTGTCCGTGGCCCTTTATAACGATAATGACAAATCACTGGTCAAGGAACTTACTATGTTAACTGGAAAGACTTTGCAAACAGGAATATGATCATTTTATAATAAAGAGATCACCATTCCTATCTTTGAAAAAACCCTTCTTGACTTATGCAACAGTTACTGGGGCGTCAGTATGCTCTTCATTGTTTTAAGGTTACTGGCAACAGTTATACCCCACAGATTGTACAGAACCTGTGAGTATTTGTGAGGAGCAGAATAGTTTTCGATTACAATATGGATGTATCGATCGAATCTTCAATTGTCACACTTATTACAGGTTGACGATCGTTGTTCCTTGATAATAGGGCTCCTCTTGACTCGTTGAACAGGATTGCGCTTTAAATCCCGGGCGAGCCCAAACTTTCCCGATCGTTGTTGCTGCCTTGAAGTGCTGGTTGGGCTTGCTTATCGTGATGAACCAATCGAGCTGCACTGGCTGAAACAATCGTTGCTCAAGGTCCTACTATGCCAGACAGGTCGGTTGAAGAGCGTTGGACTAAAAGCAGAAATCCCAAGGTCCGAATGCGAAGTCGTACGGCTGGCTGTACAGAGATGTGACGGCAGTAAGGTGTTCCCTTCAGACAACCAGTATAACAGCGATGCTGCCTTCCCACAAGGAGAGGTGGGGTTAGAGAAGGTCGGCCCTAAAAATGGACACCTCGCCTTATCCTGCGGATATCCGTTTTTGGCGGCAAGGTCTCAACAAGTACGGAGCTAGCACGAAAATTATTCACAAAAAGCTCGTGTGTGACCGAATTCAAGCAGTTGTTCCTTGGGCACTGCGGTCACGCTCTCAGGTCATTAAGACCATCTCTAACCCAATTTTCTTTTTAGGTACCTCTAAAAGAACCCTTCCACGATGTGAACAACCGGGGACTAATAACCGCCCTCATACCTCTAACAGCACTCAAGATCACTGACCGATTGTGCTTTGGGATTAGTAATCTAAGAGTATGTCTGAGTTTATTAATACCTTGAAGGCTTTATATGCAAACACCTGAAGGAAAGTGTTAGATTACTTCTCCCCATTGTTCCGGTCCAGCAATGGGGTTAGGCAGGATCGCACAACCTTTCCAACCTTCCTTCATATCGCCAACGGCAATATTCTGGAAACAGCTCTGAAGAACGTATGTGATGATGTAAATCTGTTGCTCGAAGAAAGACTTTTCGACCATGAGTACGCAGGCAAGACTGTTTTATTATCAGATGATATAATGCCATCTAAATCCCACTTCATCAGTTGGCAGCTAGTATAAATACAGGTATTTTGTATCCTATAAACACAAAGTACTTCTGAAAGACTAATAGGAGCTTGTACCTACACTCATTCTTTGTGGTGAATCTCCAGATATAGTTGAAAAGTTTGTGTATTTGGGCAGTTGTATGAGTACTGATGGTGTGTCAAGTGAGATCAGCTTATGTATGGTGAAAGTCAAAAAATGTTATACCAACTTGGGCGATCTTTTGTGTAGTTTTAACGTTAGTCTGGCTGTAAAATGTTAGGCCTACAACGCGCGCGATGGCGAGTTGGATGAAATCTAGGGGTGATCAGGCTGAAACATAGCATCAGTTTATAACATCACTGACATGGATTGAGACCTGTTGACACGTTCAGACCACATGATTGGAGTCTGCACGATAAACAAGATCAGTGGTAGCAAACGTTGGGTAAAACAAGTTAGAACCGGTCGCACTAGAGCGAATGCATTTAGTCTTCTTTTTCCCTAGATATTGAGTTACAGTATTTTCATACATACCCTTTTTAAACCACAATCTTCAATACGTAAATGTTTACACTATCATTAATTACGTTATCGTGTCAACTCCTTCGGTATTCCTCTTGTTAGTTTCATCTTTCTGAACCGATGTAAGATGGTAACTTGAATAAACATACTATTTCGTAGGGCTCTCAGTTAATTAGGAACAGTAGACGTAACCACAATGTAATATACATTATTTCCCATCCAAAAATGCTAACCATATTAGTAAATGATAATAAATCTACAAATAGATTTACTATTGTAAAAATTCACAATATATGAAACTGAGGAATATTCAAGTAAATAATTGGTTCCAATAACTTTGTCAACAATATCTGCAATCATAAGTCAATAATTATTGTATTATTTTGGTCAAAATAAGACATGATCAAATAAGCTGTCAGTCATAAGCAACAGAGAAATCTGGCATACGTGTGCATCAGCTTAATTTGCTATACCATATATCCACAGAGAAATGAAATCAAGACGAATTCCAAAATATTAGGAGTCGTAACAGTATTAGTGCTAGTAGAAAGCATTGCACATAAAAAATATAATTCAGGAAGGGAGAACGTATTCGTGAAATAAAAAGCAAAATATGCTTTTAAAACCTAAATCTAAGGGGATATGAAACGAGAATTCACCTGAACAATGAACCTGAGATGGATTACGAGCAATGTTACTCTGAGTCTGTAACCGTTGATAGAGATATTCACGAAGACCCCAACCGATTAATGTGCACCTACATTATTTTTATAGGGTTTACTACTTCACTGAGCTTTGGAAATTTACCATCCGCATGCAGTCAACGCTTGTTGACGAAATAATTTGAATGGCTGATTTCATCATCCGGTTTTACGATACGTCTTATGAGGTCAAGGATGATTTAACAAAAAATCATAATCAGTGAGTTCGGAGTAGTTAAAACAGCGTATATACGATTTTGATATTTACTTTTGGTGAAAGTATGTGTGAGTTATGTAACAGTTCTTTTTTGTTAACTAAATTTCTGCAGTATAAAAGTTTGGTCAAGTTTTTCGTCTATAAAATTAAACCATTACATACATGAACTCCGCATTCCAGTAGAGATTGATGAGAGGATATTTCTCAAGTCCTGAAGTTGTATTTTCCCAGCTTCAAGTCGTTTATCGGTTGTCTTTAGGAAAGAATGGAGAAAACATTTGTTATGAGAAAGTAACATCAGTTGTGACTATCAAAAACGTTTGTATGTTAACTCTGAATCCCTTGAAAAAACAAGAATACTCATGACCTCTAAACTAGTGAACAGACTATTTGCCGATGAACAGTATTATATTTACATCACTTCTATGTGTTATTGTATTGTTTTAACAATTAGCTTTGAGATGTAGTATATTACCGATACTTTTATCGACAAGTCTAGTACCCATTTATAAATTTTTTATTAAATGACTTAAATGTTTTGTTTTCCTCGTCTGAGATACACTGAAATACATTAACTAACTTAATTGGATGTGTAGTAAATCAGAACACAAAAGGACTATAGATCTACGGTAATTTACTAATAACTTGGTACGAAACTCTAGGTGTTTATACTTCATAATACTGGATGGCATAATGGACTGATAAAAAGCTAACGGGGAAAGCAGAAAACCCTGATGAACACCACTTGAGATAACCACTTGTGACAGTTCACCATAAGCTCTGACTCGATCAGTAGTGTTCGATTAGAGAGGACGTACAATGTTAATGTACTTCTTTAGGACACCTTTCCTCGAAAAAGTGCCACAGAATATCACGATCAACAGGGTCGAACCACACCTTAAGGTCAAGGAATATTTGGTCTTTACATTTACGTCCACATTTGAAATCAGACTATTTTCCTCGGGTTTGCTTTTCGCGAGCTTTAGATAGACGTCAAAGTATTGAGACCAATATTTTAGACACTAGATTATCACCAGGGGATTTTTATTCTTTCCTATAGACAGGGACGATCAGCGATCGAGACTAGTCAGATGGGATAATGTCCAATTTCTAGATTTTAGCTAGGATCTCAGCTAATCTAACTGCTAAAACTGGACCACCACCCTCAAAAATATCAGAAGTTAATCCACTAGGCCCTTCTGCTCCCTATCGCTTTAGGTTGCTAATATACTTTTCAACCTCATTAAGAGTCAAAGGACTTACATCAATTTTCCATTCATGTTGCTTGGAGATAGTAAGTAACTGAAGTGCGGCTCAAGGTCAGTTGGACTGTTTTCTAGACTATGTTTGAGGATTTAGGAAAACACCATTAAAAAGTGCGAGGTTTGGTTAGGATATCAAACTGTAACGAAAAGGTCAGGCTGAGCGTACATGATCCTTAAATTTGAACACTTAGAGTACTAAACAGCTCATTCAGACTAGTTAACTTGTACCGAGGAAAACGTTCATAAAATGTAGGTGCAAAGCTTACACATCAAATAATCCCCCGTAGGATGACTACGGAAGAATCCCGAAACGTCAATAACATTTAAGGTTTAACTAGGAGCTACTGTAGGGTAAGTAAATTAAAACAATTTTACGTAACTTACAGATGGGCGTAGAGAGTTACCGCCAGTGGATGAAGTTCCTGAAGATGGTGTGGCAGTAGTCCCAATGACAGGTGTAGATGCATTAGATTCATCTAGGTGTCCCGTATTTAAATGACGCCCGATTGTCACAGCATTTGCTTGAGCAGATGATCTGCAAACGAATTACAAAAAATACGTTGTTTAATTGAGTAGCAGGAACTAAACAATATGAAGTGTTGAGTATACACTTAAAAAGCCCAGAAAACCGACTAAGTAATACTTTGAATTGTCAGTTAGCATAGTGTTAGTGTAAATCAACTATCTTAGTTTCAATCCGGTAATGATTTAACTACGACAGGCAATTAGTACAGGTAATTGAGACTGCTGTAATATATAAAAGTTGACGAACGCAGAACTTATTTGGTACAAAAGACAGTTCCCTCTCTGCACATATCAACTAACTTCTCATGTGGTGAAGGCATACAGCTTTGGCTTCAGTTTACGCCACTGGGTAATACTATGATATAAATAAATCGTGGATCAAAGATGAAACTAAACATCTGCAATCGGTATACGTTATACTGTAGTCAAAGTGACTGGGCTGTTGCTTCGCAACGCCACTTTTGTCCAGAAGCTTAGTTTTAGACTTTATGTGATGGGAATATACTTGTCATGAAACTAGATCTTTTAAACAAGTCACGCAGTCTTCGAAAAGTGAATCCGTTCACTACCTAGAGATTGCAGACGTCTATGGGACGCATGGGTTAAACATGTAGAGTCGATTTAAGGTCGTGATGCGATCAGACACACTCTCAAAACTTCGGAAAGCTTAACCATGTACTCACAGATTATTCTACTTATCTACTAGGATATACCCAAAGAAGTTCAATGGAGTATCCACACTATATTAAAACTACTAGAGACAAAAATGAGTTGTTATGCTAAGTCTAGTCAAACTTACATATCAGATTCCGAAGTTAATCCACCTCCAAGCCCTACCCCCATCGCTAAGATTGACAGATCTGAAAGAATAATTACAACTTACACAACAAAGCCAGAATATCGCTGTGAGAAAGTTGGTTAAGACTTTCAAAACGACTAAGCCAGTCACCTAAAAATGTATTGAGGTCCAGAAAATTTACTTGAGAGTGTTGTAGTTTGTGCGGGTGGAGACCTAATGTAGTCGTTTATTCTTGAACAAATGTCACTATCATTTTTTCCGTTGGGTTCCTTTGAAAATGGTTTGAAGAATAAAACTTACTTGCATCCAGATGAAAAAATGTTTGGGACCTTTGAACTTAAGGAGATAAACTCTACCCGTTGTACATTGTGGAATCTTTTGAAACTCAGCCTGTTTGGCATTAATGACGAAATTCTAACTTAATAATTTATGCGAATGGAAGTACACCTACATCTTCAACAAGAAACGTCTTGCGATCGATCCAACAGAAGTGTAACTTTCCGTCCCCGGACTGATAAACATACACCCATCCCTTGCGAGGGTCAGCATGAACCCAGTTATCGTCACCAATCGTCATTTTCCCTGCTTTGAATTGCAGTAAATGTCGTGTTTGAGATTGCTGAGGCCTTCCGAACAGGGCAGTCCTACCCGACATGGCGAAAAAACCTAATTTGGCGGAGGCGGCCCGCTCAAGGACACAGTCTGTTCAATACTCAACACTATCATGGGTATACAGTACCTTACTAAAGATATTAAGAAGATCCTTCAAAACACACTCAGGTATACTTGCTTCAAAAAAGTAAGCAATATTACGTGCCACAAATCATACTTTAATCTACCTTTTTTAACAATATTCAAACTACTAGATATTTATCTCTAATGCTGGCGTTAGAACCGGATTCACTGAGCACTTTAGAGGATATCAACTAGTTCCGACAATTATGCGATCCATAAGGACGTTTTATATGGGTCCCTTTCAATACTTAAGGTATGGCTTTGGCATATTTATATATCCTCTGTAAGTTTTGGACGTATTACAAAGAGTGAGTTTTTTTAATCGAGAGAGGAAATTCTGTATCTGTTTTGTTACCAATGATGAATGAATTTGTTAAAAATTAGCTGAAGACTCGTGATATCGACATGTGAAAATTGAGTTTCAGAGTTACCGATGCAAGTAGCATGATTAAAAACAGAAAGCCAACTGACAAGGGACAGTTACTAAGCTACACAGAGAATGAGCAGGTCTTACAATCGCCTAAACCCGGTTTATATAGTATATAGTATACGGTCAACCACAGTTTACATATTGGTTTTTTTGAAAATTGATCTATGATTACGTTCCATTTAATTTGCTGCAGGTCATAAGGTGAGGGAGGAAAAGTAACTTGCACCCAATTGTAATTTTACATCGAGTTTTGTGTTCCGAGATGGCTGTTCAGATCGACGTGCCTGTTTAATTACTAATCCTGTGTTCCCATTTTGTTCTCTGGACTGGCTGGGCTGGTCGTGGAGCTTTAATCGTTCTTCTGAACGACATCATCAGCACAAATGTCGGGTAGAAGCGAAATGTCCGCAGGCACACACTCGACTGGAAAAATGTGAAGATCTTGGATAAAGGCAATTCTAAAAACACCAGAGTATTTTTAGAACCTGTGCACCCAGGTCAACCAACAAGCACATTGAAATCGGTCCAATTTATCAACTATTCAGAAAAATTATGGACGAACATGGAATTGACAATCAAACCAATCGAAGATACGACCAAAACAAAGAAGTAAAAAATGACCTGTTTAAGGTCAACAAGAACTAATCAACGTCGAGGCCTACAGAACAAGCTGTGAGACATATGTGGAGAAATTTGAACAGTTAAAGTCCACCTGAATTTTGTGCTGATGATATCGTTCAGAAGGGCGATGAAAGCTCCACGACCAAATCAGCCTGCTCAGAGAACAAACTCCATCAAAATCATCCACCTGAGCAACAAATCTCCACAATTTCAAAATGCGATAAGATGGACACAACGTTTTATCTGAAATTATTAATTGATTGGTTATACCAAGACTTTTAACTGGAAAGTTGCAGTTAGTTGAAATTTAATAAAGCAGAGGATATACACACATCTCATCATGGGATTTATTTTAGCCGACTGAGTTACTCCTTGCTGGAGTGATTTCATACTTCTTATGAATTGATCTTGCTTTTGAACATTTATTGAGTCGAAAACGTAATTTGTGCACTTCAACTTTAATTATTTAGTCTAAGATTTTAAAGTTTCCTCAAAATTTGTTTTGTGGTACTCTTTTTTATTTGGTTGTCATACTGGTGATTATACAGTGTATTCTTGTCGACCTTATACCGTTTTAAATGTTTACAATGGTCGGCTTTACTTATAAATATGGGCGGTCAAATGTTTTTCTTCCCTGTGGAGAGAAAAAACCAATATGATAAGTATAGAACCTGTTTCCACAATTTGTGTACCATTTTAAACCACAGCACGTACAAAAGATGCTCGGATCATAACTCCTGTTGGCTCTGAATGTTTTACCGTTCGGGTAAGACATCACCGATCTAGAAGTCGATGAGCCCTCAGGCATGAGTTCTGGTGGCAAATGATGTGTCAATGTTGTATTTGCCGTTACATAAGTGTTGTGAAGAAACCATTTCGGGTTTCTTCAAAAATGCAATAATACACAAGTTTCAATAATGTTAACACTATATTTGCCATATTTGAAAAGGACAATAATAATAGAATAATAATAAATCTGGTCCTGTGTTATTGCGAAGAATATTGAATTGAGTTTAAAGAAGGAAAGAGAGAAAATAAAGGAATAGAAATAAAGGAGACGTGAAATCTGCAAATAGTTTAATTAGCGTGTATATGAACACAGAACAAGAATAAACGACTGTTTATGTATCGTCAAATTAGTAACAAAAATAAAATAGAAAATAATTATGAAAAGCTAACTTATTACTGACATAAGACATGACGCTAGAATAAATGTTTGCTCAGTCATAGTTTAGAGTGATGCTATGAAAGTCTCAATTAAGTGAAAAGGATAGTAGAAATAACAGATGCCTGACATTAAGAGACTTCAATGCAACCGATATTAGTCGGAAATGGATGGCCACCGCCGTATATAAACTTCCTTTCGATAGTAGGCTCCCCGGTGACGTTAATCGAGCATGGTTCAGTATAGTTTGCACCCGAACCAGAAAGTTTTGATTCTAACCAAGGATTTTTGTTGTTAGACTTTGTAATCGTTCATGTGATCGGGAATATTGACTATCTAAATGTCCTTCAGCCAACAGTAATTAGCAATCATGGTTCTTTTCATGTTTCATGCTTAGAGCTTGTGATATAATATACAATCAGGTTATGCGTCGCCCAAATATGTGGAGAGCAAAAATACCGGTTATAGAGGAGTACACTGTAACAAAGGACCGTTCAATCAATTATGGCTCATCAATCGGAGAAGCATGGTTCATAGTTAAAAGTATACCCAGCTTAGTAAAATCCCGATTTATACCGTGCTTAGTATAACATAGGCCAAATAACTGCCCACCATGGATAATGAAACAGGCCAAGAAACGTTTTAGACACTAAATAAAGTACTGAGGTATGTTTGTTTCTACAGGCTCAAAACAGTACAGATCGTTTTACTGTAAGACTAAGAACGCTCGCAAAACGTGGATAATTAAGGCTAAATATTTACGTAAAAACAAGTGGTTGAGGATTGTGAAGATAATCCGAAAATGTTGTTCTCACATACAAAGGGGCAAACTCAGAAAAGCGAAGCAACCCCACTACATTTATTGCAAGAAAATCCGTTGATATTGTCAAGAAAACTGAAGTTTTGTCAGACTGTTTTAGTGAGGCATGTTTTACCCACGATGGTGAAGGGCTAACAATCAATTATAATGGCGGGTTGTCGATGTACTTTCTGGATATTAAGAAAGGATTTGTATTGCGATTACTTTAGCATCTCAAACTAGATAAGTCTAGTGGTCCTGACGACATTACAGAATCCTTGGTGAATGTGGTTTTTGAACTCGTCCCAACCCCATTGATACATCTTTGCTGCAGTCTTATTTGCCAAGAGACTGGAAAGACGTAATTAGCAACCAGCTTTATGGATTGGAGAGTATAAACTTAATCAGTAACTGTCAGCCCGTTAGTCCATCCAATGTAGTTGTCAAATCGATGGAAAAGATTATTCGTATGGTTGTTCTAAACTATGCTGAAGAGTATAACTTTCTATCCATCGAACAACATGATATTAGGAAAGGCCTATCGTGCTTGATAAATCTGTTAATTACAACGGAAGATTGAGATGCAGCGAAAAACAGAAATATTTCAGTGAGTTTAATGTTCATATGTCAAAGCAAGCCTTCGACAAAATATCTCGCCTGGTCCTTAAGTTAAAGCCGGAACCTTTCGGGATTTATTATGAAATTATAAACCGTATGAGTAACTTTCTCAATGACAAAAGACAGCAGGTACTGGAGAGTGGAGCTCTTCCAACGTTGGAATCTATGAAAAATGGAGTTCTTAAAGGTACGGTCCTCGGTCGCCTTCTTGTTTATGTTATGTAAATCAATTACCAGCTGTCGCAAACTAAGATGTTCTGCTCTTTGAAGATGATATAAAGAACTGCAAACCCGTACACAGTGTCAGACAGAATTACAATACAGGATGACCTAAATTCATCGGTTGAATGAATATATAGGTAGTCATCAGAAGTTAGTTCTAGCAAGAGTTTAATAATGTAGGTAAATGACTGTGATGATTCATATCACCACAAAATATGTGGAATTGTGTAACATGAAGTAATAGACCATAAAGACCCAGGAGTCATAATCAGTAGTGACCTAAAAACTACAAGTAACTGCATGGTTGCCACTGTCAAATGCTTTTGGGACTTACGGGCCATTTGTATGTTGTTCCACTAATTCAACGAAAAAATGTCTATGAAATCACATTCAACTTTTGTCAGGATACATTTGGAATATGTGATTGAGTTCCTGTCTCAATTATGAGCCGGATATGCTAGAACGTGTTCATCAGCGATGAGAGAGAATGATAAAAGGACTCTCTGACCTGCCTTATGAAAACAAATCGCGACACATAAACCTATTTCCGTAATCTTACCGCAAAATACAGGGTTATCTGATATCGACTTATGGTACATTAGACGATGATCTTAGTACCAATGTCTTATCTTTTCTTTCCATCTAGGACTAATCATTAGAGGGAACATTCTAAGAAATCTAAACAAATCGCTTACGTCTAGAGTCTTGTTTCTTTCACCGGGTAGTGAAATACTAAAATTCCATACTAGAACATCTAATATCAGCACCTTCTGTTGTCACATTCAAAGCGAGGTTAGATCTCTACACTACCAAAAGGTGAAAGGATCAATATAGGTCGACTGATCTCCTCTCCTTACTACTGAAGACTATTTATAAATATCATTGGATTGCTCCTGGATTAATCTACCTGGACATAATTTTTTTATGGGAGGAAGATGTACTGTGGAAACGAGGAGCAAAAGGCCTAAGGAAAATGTAGGATTGGAAAGTTAGCTTCATAAAGCCGTTTGTGAATCATATGATGTTGTTGGTAAAGATAATGCTATTAGTGTCCTCAGTATGGTTTCTGACTGGTTCATTTTGGTTCGGCTCGAGCTAGGTAAGGCACT